TTTTTTTTATATCTCTTATGAATCAAATGTTTTCATTGTGTTTCTTCCATTGTAAACTGAATTTGTTCAGTAATATTATTATTATGTTTCTTTGCTGCAGACCTGCCCCCTTCTGCTGCGAGTCTTCACCACCAACAGTGGGAGACACCACAGAGTCGATGAATTTGCTCGAGGAAATGTTCCTTCCAGCGAACTGCAGATATACACTTGGTAAGATCACAGATGTGTCACTGGTTTTTGTTTTTTGTTTGGGTGGGTGGTTGGTTGGTTTTTTTGTGAGTGTGGGTGTTTTGGCCGGAGTCAAGGATTTGCCAGTGTTTTAAGCTGAGTTTGTAAAACAACAGAAACATAGTGTTATAATGCTCTCGGGGTTGGATAATTTTCTCAAATCAGTGCTTCTGGCCATCTCCCTGTAGCATCGCTGATCAGTGATAGCATTGTTGCTGCGGTGACAGAGGACGTTGATTGATTTGGCAGTCATGGTTAACATAATTGGGAGCACATCGGCTAAATAGTTTAAAGAGGACTAAATAAAAACATTTGCAGGCCCTTTAATTTTTTAAGTTAGAGCTATAGTTCGCATGAGTCGTCCAGTTTGTTTTCTCTGTGTCATATCCCACCTGTCTCTGGCTCTCTTTTCATATACGGTGGATTTTTCCCACAGACAAAAACAATATTGTGAAAAAGTTAAGGAGCTAAGGGTGTCGTTTTTCGGTTTGTTTTCTTTTTGAATAAGGACACTGGAGCTGGTCTCTGATTGTGTTTATGTGTTTCAGGATGGATGCTACACTAAAAGAGTTGACCAGCTTGGTGAAGGAGGTATATCCAGAGGCCAGGAAAAAGGGCACCTACTTTAGCTTTGCCATTGTCTACCCTGATCCCAGAGGGAAGATGTACAAGTGAGTATCACACCAAAGACTGCGCTCTTTGGATTTACGCAGCTAAAGAATGTGGTGATCTATGTATATTGCATCTTTAATAACCTCTCTTCTCCCACCTCCTTCAGGTTGAAAGAGATTGGCAGTACTGTGTCTGGCAGAAAAGGTGCAGATGACTCAATGACACTGCAGTCTCAGCGCTTCCAGATTGGAGACTATCTGGATATAGCCATCACACCACCCAACAGAGCACCGCCCCTTGGCACACGCATGAGGCCATTCTGAAAATACACATGCACAAACCTACACCTTCTGTATTTTGTCTTATTTTCATCATCTTGGGATGATTTTGACTCAGTTTTTTTAAGAATGTGATCTGTAATAAAATTGTCCCTTTTTTTCCAAAGTCTGAATAGTTTTTTCTGTGTCACTGTGAGGTGATTATTGAACTTGTTAAACTAGCAAAGAAACAGAAGTGAAGCAGGGAGCTCGCCTCTTCCTTGAATGCTGTATTAATTTCCAGGATTGGAAATGTAGCCATTTACTGAATGCACATTATTTCGCTACCTTTGTATTTGTAAGCTATAATATTAAAATTAACTGAATTGCATTTTAATTAAAAACATGAATAAATATTACAAATTAAGTGCAAAAAAAAATTTAACGCCAAAAAGTTAATATTCAATATTCACAGTACCCACAAATCACCAATGTCAAATGAGTCCAAGCTACATGTAAGGCAAGAACTGCTTGATCAAAATGTTCTTTTCTTTTGAATGCAAATCTATAGTTAAAGATCAATGAGAAAAACATGGTTGCCATCAATGTTCCCTCTAAACTGCGCGCGTGCACAATTGCGCACTGCTGGCACAGAAAAAAAATTAACCTGAATTGAAATTGAAATTAAAACTTTAACAATTCTGTTTTGCAGTGTTAGTAAGTGACTGTCTGCTCCCGTATGGGATTAGAACGATGCTACCTTATCCCATAGTCCAGCCAATAATGCGATTCACATTCGTATATACGCAGCTAATCAACGTCGTTGACAGGTTATAACAGCGTCCTTATGTGCCGACACAACCATTGGAGATGTGAGCAGGACAGACGGAACAATTGACGGAAAAAGTGTGGACTTTATACCAGTTTTTAAATTGTGTTGATAGGCCACGTAAAACCAGAGTTATGATAAAAATATCTGCAATGTTTGGTTTTCTTCCTGAATACTATCGTTGTTTATATTTACTGCGGGAAGAAACGCTCGAAAGCACTCTCTGCCTGTGAGCAAAACCAAAAACCCCACCTTTCCTATTCAACGAAAAAAGTACCATGTCGACCAATCAAAAAATGATATGGCAACATGGCATTTAGTTGTTTAGGAAGGGGGAAGTTTTAGGAGTGACGGCGGTGTTTTGTATGGAAGCCCGTTTCCGCCACTAAAACAAAAAAAAGGATCCATAACTCAAAATTTCGAGTTATTTTCTCGAAATTTCGAGTTATTTTCTTGAAATTTCGAGTTATTATCTCGAAATTTCGAGTTATTATCTCGAAATTTTGAGAAAAGCAACTCGAAATTTCGAGTTAGCGGCTGCCAATCAGTAATCTACGTGAATGACGTCATTTCCATGTTACCCGGAAGCTGAAGCCCTCAGCTACAAATGCTACAGCTAAGCTACCGGTATTACATCCAGTCGTGAATGCACAGATTGCTGAGTGTTTTCAGCCTGGCTTCACAAATGATGAAATCCCTGTGTTATTAGCTGAATCACATGGTGTTACTATCAGCAAACATACTTTAATTTGTTGGGATCCATTTTTGAGTGCGCGGTCCTGCGCCATATGCTTCCGGGTAACAAGAAAGCAACCTCATTCACGTATATTTTTGATTGGCAGAGCTTTCGAGTTATGGACGAAATTTCGAGTTATGGATACTAGCTTTTTTTTTTTTTTTTTTAGTGGCGGAAACGGGCTTCCATAGTTTTGAGATGTGAGAGATTTGCGACGTTTAGCGCAAGTTTTGTGTAGTTAGTGTGTAGTGTAGTCAATAGTTTTGTTGTGTGTGTCAGAACAATGAGGCGACTACTTAATGTTACAGGAGTGATACATCTCCTGCTGTCAGGCCTGCAGGTATCAGGCTGTTGTTCTCCTTTATCTCATAGTGGACAGAAATTATTTTTTGGAGTGGCACAAATAATTTCTGTGGCATCAAATTTGATGCAGAACACCTAATTGTTCTGTAAATAGTTTGAAATGCTTATTTTTAAAAAATGCCTTGGCTGCATTTTTAGGTAAACAGCTGCAAAAACTTTGTTGTTTGCATAGCTCAGTTACTTTTTTGAAGAAGTAACTATATAATTAATTGCCCAACAGTGGTCATTATTTACTGTATTTTGCAGACAGAGAGTTACAGGACTCTCTCCCAGACCACAGACTCATAATACAAGTCAGAGCCTTATTGATTTTTTTTTTTAAAACAACAGCAGCAAGCTTTATAAGCTGTTGTTAGAATTTATTTAATATTACTTTCTAGTATCAGCTGATGTTTGCTGGAGCCACAGCTGTAAAAACTGCTGGTCATGATATCGGATATGTGGTGAGAGGGAAACATGAAGGTGATACAAATCATACATGTATACCAACAAGACAGTGTACATCACTTTCACAACAGCGTTTGTTTTAATTCAAAGGCTTTATGGTTTTTCCTATAATACCTGGTGGTGTAGTCCGCAGATTTTTTTGTCAGTTCAGCCTTATAGACCAAAACAGCCAATCAGATTTTTTTGCATCCAAGTCTGTGATTGGCTGGTTTTGTGGCACAACTATAATGGTGTACAGAAAGAGTTGAATGTGCACGGGCAGAAATGTTGAGAGCACAAGCAACACATTGCAAGCCAGCGCAAATGCAAAAACTGAGTGAGAGGGGGCTGTGTGTGTGTGGATAATAGTAAACACTGAAATACATTTTTTTGCACACAGCAATGAATTTTGTTCACTCAAATTTAGCTTTTCTTCGCTCAAAATAAATTTCTCCTCAAAATGCAACACTTGCACCTGCAATTTTTTTTAACGCGCGCTCAGAATAGTGGCACAAAAATAACCCAAGGGACCGCTCAGGGAGTTTGTGTGTCTGCTCAGACACATGAAAAATTAGAGGGAACATTGGTCACCATTCGTTTAATTTTGTATAAACGAATTTAAAAGTGTTCAAATCAAGCTACTCTATTAAAAATAACCAACTATAACTAATCTAAGTACAGATTTCCCCGATCTAGGCTGACTATTATTATTTTGTAACTGTTTTAATTAATTAGTTTACTCTTGTTAATGTCTAACGGCGATAGTCAGTGTGGGAAAAGTTTTATTTTGATACCTATAAGAGGAAGTTGTACGCTCTCCGTCAGCGCATGCGCGAAGCTACATACTGAAGGCTAGCAGAAAATCCAAGCGACTGTTAGCTAAAAAAACTATTTGGTTTCCGTATTAAACACGGGGTGAAATGTTTCGGAGAAAACTGGGCGCTCTGGATTATCACAACCCCGACGACTTTGACTGCACAGGTAAGAATAAACTTATGAAAGAGCAGTTCGGTTGGTCAGTTGAGTTGAACGTGGAGCCGGCTAACGTGTCCTGTCTGTATGGAGACAGAGAGCTGCCAGATTAATAACGTAGAACATGTATGTTCAGTATGAGACAAACGTGTATATTTATGAAAAAAAGCAATGTACAAGGTGCTTATGCTCGACACTTTTAATAATTTTAACTAGTTTTGACTATAGGTTGTTTGCATTTTACACGCAATAAACACACACTCGGGCTTCATTAGTAGGTAGGCTGCAGATACCAGTTTAGCACAGTCATACCAGTAAGTTCAAACGCTGGCTACTCCCTGGTGCCAAAGTAAATTGTTTGCGTCCTGTAGTGAGTGATTCAGCAGATATGGTCTTGGAACCTCAGTTTTATTTATTCACTCCTTCACTTACTTGCCATGTGTAGCTGCTGATGTGTTGTTATCGGTATTGTCTAATTTCTTCTCAGATGAGACACAGTTTAGGAACTGCATTGTGTGGCTGGAGGACCAGAAGATTCGACATTATAAAATCGAAGACCGAGGCAACCTGAGAAACATCCCCAGCTCAGAGTGGCCCAAAGCCTACCAAAAGGTAAGACTGCTGGATCATCTGAAAGTAATCACTGCTGTTATTAATGGGTATTACTAACATAACACTGCATTTCTGATATAATATGAGGAGCACGGTGAGTTGTGTTTGAGTTTTCTTTACCTGTGTGCAGTACCTACAGGATGTGAACTGTCCATTTGAAGTCGATGAGAGGAAGGAGGCTGTAGATTGGTTACTGGGCCTTGCTGTGCGGTATGAATATGGAGACAATGGTAAGGGGTTTCATTTGGGTCACATTTACTTGTATAGCGCAAGAATCCCTTAAAAAAAAAAAAAAAGACTCCTGGCAGAACCAGACTGGAGGGGACCACCATCAAGTGCAAAAGGAAGTGTAAGGGAGTTTTTCCTTCCTGCTGTTTTCCAAGTGTTCTCTTAAAGTTGGTCATGTGATTGTCGGGGTTTTCTCTCTGTATTATTGTAGAGTCTTTGCCTTATAATATAAAGTGCCTTGAGGTGTCTGTTGTTGTGATTTGGTGCTATATCAATAAAACTGAATTGAATGCAGTACGTGTAGAGAGCTGTGCTACAGAGCAGAGGTTTATTGGGGAAACCTGAGGGTTAACTTGGATTTACAGGTTTGCAGAGGGGGTTCACATCAACACGGTTGTGTGCCACACTCCTAATCGGACTTTTAGTAGGTTATGGTTAGGATAAGGGATAATGTGCACAAAATTGCCACCTACTGGCCAGTCAGTTCCCTAGGGTTAGGGTTATGTTAGCCTGTGCCACCGATGACCAGGAGATGGAGACATTACAAAAGGAATACTTTTTGCTAAGTGCCAGATCATATGTCTACTTTTACTGCAGAATAAGAAGAACAAATTGTTACTCTTCTACTCGTTACTGTGAGCTCCCCTGTTAATGTATTGCAAGTCAGTCTGTTCATCGGTGACGTGTTTTGTGTGTCTCTTCACAGTGGAGAAGTACAAAAACTGTCAGCCCCTGGCAGCTTCCAGTAACAGCAATAAAGCCATGGACCCTCTGTTTAACCTCGACAGTAAGTAAAACTTGGATTTGAGCTTCCTCTGTCCTGGCATTCTTTCTTCTTTCCCTCTTTAAATCTTTGCAGGATAAAAGTTAAAGTGTCTGTGTGTGTTTGTTTGTTTTTGTTGTTTTTTTCAGGTAATTCTCCAGATTTCAAAGCAGGGGTAACAGCTTTGTCCAACATCCTCAAGATACAGCGGCATGACGACTACCTGGTTATGCTTAAGGTGAGAGCGCACTAAAGGGCTCTTTAATACTGTAGCAAAGCTTACCTGGGCACAGAGGAAGGCGAAGTTTGCGTTTGCTTCACAATAAAAGCCCTTAAAATGATTTAATGCTTTCCATGTGAGCCGGCAGCCCTGAGTCGTTCTTTTAATGCAGGGTAATGGTCAGACTGATAACACGGAGATAATAGTTGGCACTCAAAAAATGCAGAATAGAAATTTTGCACTCTCACTTGCCACTCGCAATAGAAAGTAATCCTGTTAACCATATTAAGGGAATGTTTTTGTTTTGTTTTTTTTTAATGTAAGTCTTATGTATTAGAATGATCTCAAATCATTAAGAAGAGTTTTTCTTGTTTTTCGTTGCAACTGCCAGGCCATTCGTATTTTGATCCAAGAGAGACTTTCTCCAGAAGCCATTGCTAAAGCCAGCAACAATAGAGAGGTAAACTAAAGACACATGTGCATAATATGCATCAAAAATCATATGTCTGTGTATAGACTGCTGCAAGTCTAGAGCCATGATTTCAGCGGCGTTACTGACAAAACTCAACCAGCTATATTTTCTTTTTTCCTACAGGGTGTTCCAGTAGCTTTAGACAAGCACATCTTGGGTTTTGACACTGGAGGTGAGTTATTTATTTAAAGAATTTTTTTCAGCAGAAAGGCTGAAAGCTGACGAGTAAATGCTATGACGATCGGTCTGCCCACAGTTCATAAGAATTGCTTCTCTTAAAGTATTGGTCAGCTTTTGGTAAAACTTCTGTCTTTTCTCCTCAGATGCAACTCTAAACGAAGCAGCTCAGATCCTGCGCCTGCTGCACATTGAGGAGCTGAGGGAGCTGCAAACCAAGATCAACGAGGCCATCGTAGCTGTTCAGGCCATCATAGCCGACCCCAAGACAGACCACCGGCTGGGCAAGGTTGGCAGATGAGAGCGGGGGCGGTGACGGACCGCAAAGGGAGTGAGGGACTGAACCTGATTTGATTTTTGAGAGGAAAAACCTTTTGTTTGGTTAAAGGACATCAAAGAATTTTTGTTGATTTTTTTTTTTTTTTTCCGTTGTTGCATGAGATCGGACTGTTTAAATTGGGAATCTCATAAATAAAAGACCCAAGTGTTCATGTGTGGACAGCCTGGATAAGTTCTTAAAACTTAATAATGTATAAATAATAATAATAAAAAAAATGGTTTCCATTAATTATCCAGTAACAAAGTTTAAAGGTTCTGAAACTGCATCTTTTCTTCTGCAATATTCAAACTGACTGTTATATTTGTTTCTGGTGTTTCTGATGAAATATTCTTTGCAGATGGACAGAAATTGTTATTTTCAGGTGGGAGGGGAAAATATATAAATCCAGCTGCACACAGTTTGACTCCTGCACTTCTGTGGTGAATCAGACAAATGTTCAAAAAGCATCTCCCGTAACAAGTCACATTTTATTTTATAAATATCACACCTTATGAAAAAATTAAAAAGTAGAAGAAGAAAAAGTATTTGCTAAAAAAAATGTCATTTGTGTAAAATACAATTAGTAGTGCAGCTATATATATAGTAGGGCTAATTGGATGGGGAGGCTGGAGAAACATACTCCGATTATAGTAATCGGATTACAAAAACTGGTAAGCATACAACAGTATCAGTGACAAGGGTTACAACTATCATGATTCCTTGGCAGGTATCGATACATTTGGGGAAAAAGATGCTCTTAGATTTTACTTTGCTGAAATAAAAGAATCAAGTCATCTTTAATCTTTAGTGTTAGGTGCTGTATTTTATCCCTGCTTCCACTCGTTCAGTGATGGTAAATCAGTCTTCTTCTGACTGTGGCTTTATGTTTAAGCATATACTGTATATAAAAGAAGAAAGTAGCCACTGTGACTTTACCCACTGAGGCTATGTCCCCATGTACCTGGGTATTTTTGAAAACGCAGATTTTTCTATGCGTTTGCACCTTTCGTCCACACGTAAACGACATTTCCGGTCACTAAAAACAGAGATTTTTAAAAACTCAGTTTTTGCATTTACGTGTGGACGAGGAAAACTGAGAAAACGCATAAACCCTAACCCTAACCCGCCTTTTTTGACGTCACACTGTGCGCCACGTTATTGTTTCGGTGAAATAAATTTCTACAATGGTGGACTTAGACAAAATACTGTTACTGTTAATTTTACTGTTTAAATGCTTACATATATACAGTACACACAGTTTATGTCCCGCCACACATAGGACTCAGTTCTGCTTCTATGCGCCATCTTTGTTTACCCTTTCCCACCCAGGCTTCTAGGCTTCTGATTGGCCAATATTTCTACACGGTTAGGAATATATCACCACCTATTGTTTTGGCATGTTCCTAGCAGCGTTGTCCTTCGTTTTTGCGTTTACGCGTGGACAGGATTTAAAAAAAAAAAAAAAACGAAAACGGAAAATCTCAGTTTTCAAAAATACCCGTGTACGTGTGGACGTAGCCTGAGTGAAATGCCAAGGTGTAAGACAGCATGGCATAGATCTGACTGAGAAACTAGGACTTTGCACGCTGAGAGTTTAATGTCTCAGAGCTCTTATTCTCTTAACTGTTATTTCTTACAGACGGTTTACAAGACAGTCCAGAATGAAAGGGGCTCGGTGGAGCAGTAGCCAGACAATGTCTCCTAATAACAGTCACCAACAACCAACTTCTAAAGTGTACCTAAAGTCTAACATCAATCAAGCATTTTCTGATGTAAATCTTTAACAGACATTAGCATAATGCTAGCATTTTATGGGCAGAACTAGCTTCAGTGTAACAAAGACATAAGTGTTGTTTTATTACAATTTGGACACATTATCAAACCACATAAAGTGCTGCGACACGAATTGCGCAAAAGTCGCCAAAATCTGCTAACTCAGTTACCGCTGAGTTTCGAACCTGCTCTGTCATTAACATCAGCACAAAAAGCTGTGTGCTAGGAACTTCATGGCATGGGTTTCCATGGTTGAGCAACTCCTTTAAGTGTAATGTGTGGCAAGGACTTTTGTCCATATATCCAGTTTTTTCTTAGTCTGTGTATTTAGCTCACAGATGTGAGTGCAGTATTATTCCCCAAAAGTATTCCCCAAAAAGCCAGACTGCACCTTTAATGTGCAGTTGTTCTTGTTGTTAACCAGAGACCACTATGAGTGCATCTGTAACTTCTCAACTTAATGGCCAATGTTATTTGTTGATATATAAAAAAAAAACCCAACAGCTTGATGTTAGTTTTCCCAAAAGGAAAAGCTTCAAATTATTCTTCTTTGGCTTTAAAGTACAATTAAACCCCCAAAAACTACAACCATGCATTTTAACATCTGATTTCATTGTTCTGCACCTTTATTCAACAGAAAAACAAAAATCTCAAGCAATACAAAAATACAGTAGAAAAAAACTAAAAATGAGGTATAAAACAAATTTACAAATCATTTACTTTGGGTTACATTAAGGTGAGATACTGGGGTTGAAGTGGGTGTAAATTTGCTCTGATTGCTGATCTGGCTGTCGTAAGCCATCTTTGCCCCCTGCTGAGTGTCCTTCTTCCAGAGGGACACCAGAGGGCCTGGACCTGCCTTATGTCCATGAATCGCCTCAGAACTTTAGCACCAAAGCACACTGCGGGTGCAGGCTGTCGTTAGTGGCTCCCTGTGACACACACACACAAAGATAAAAGCTCATCACTTTGAATCATCATCCCATAGTGGAAGTACTTTAAGGATAAGTTAAAATGAGAGGTTAAAGGTTTCATTTTCTGTGTGAATCCAAATGTGACAGGATGAAAACTTGGGCGCTGCAGTGCTCTAATGACAGAACAAACAGTCGTGCACTTTGTAACTGGAAGCGACTGAGAATTGTCTCTGTAAAGAATGTGTGTATATTTATGTATTGCACAATAAGAGCTTTTAAGCCTCTCGCAAGCTCCTCCCAAAACTTCAGGATCTGTGTTTTAGACCTGTCATCATGGCAACAATTACACCACACATCGTCATCTTTAAAGCTAGCGACTATAATCTAGTCTGACTGTTGAAGGATGTGACTTTTACAGCAACACACACCAGTGATAGTGTTCCTTCCGACTGTTTTCAAAGGCAGATGCATTGTGACGAGATTATGTACTCTGCAGATGTGTGTAGCTTTAATGGTGACATTTGCCAAAGTGCTACTTTAGGGATTATCCTGTGTACTTTGTACTTTAACGTGAGGCTTTGAAAGGACTCGAAGCCATCTGCAGACAACACATCAAACATGATGCGTGCAAAAAAACAGGTAGAGGGTCGCACACAGCTGTGTAATCTTTGTTCTTTGGTCTCTCACACATGCAGGTCACAAATAGAGGGTCACAGACAGCTGTGCAATCTTTGTTCCTGTCTATTTCATGGGTGTATGTGAAGTCACCCCTCAGACACATATATCTGCAGAGTGGTAGGTGTTAGCCAGCTGTGTGATGAGTGCAGAGTGATCAAACACGAGCTGTGATTACTTCCAACAACAAAGACTGCCCAAAGAAACCAGTTTGATTAACCTTTATCAGTAACATGGATTTCTGAAAAAATTAAAACGTACAGCTCTGCTATCACTTCCAACATAAATGATGGCAGGAAACTAAACAGTAGTGACGTTTGTAGGGTCACAGAAGTTGGACTAGCTGGTATATAATGAAGTGCTGCGTGGTGACTAGCTACACAGCTATGGTTAGCATAACATAGCAAACACAGTGAAGCTGGAGGATGAACGCTAACTTTTTTCCACTTGAGAAAAGTTAACATGAGGGTTCCTGATGGTTAGGGACAAATGCAATCCCATGGCAGGATCCTGTAAATGGACCAAACTTCAGTCAGGAGAACAACTGAGATAATCCATCCACAATACGAGGTTAGTTATTAATATACTGCTGCATGGGCTGGGCTGTAGTTACATCGTAAGGTTTTAAAAACTGAGCACAGTAGCTGCATGTCCTGGTTAGAGAGAACAATAATGGGTGATAACGATTCTTAAGGATAGCAACAGATGGCAGAAAGATACCCTACTCAGAAATGTTTCTGATGAACTGAGAGAAATGTAAATCTCACACAAGTAACACCATTCATTTCAGAGGAACTGTAATCAGTGGATATGCAGCCTGCACAACATGTTGCTGAAGGCATCTAGTTTCATTTCATTCATACTGTCAAATGTCATGTTTTTCAAAGGATCTGTGAGATTATAGGAAAGTGCAGTGCAGGAAAAGCAAAGTTGGTACACAAACTAATGAGTTCACTGTCTGCAACTCCTTTAAGTTAGAGTGTGTGCATAATACAGTTAGTTTTCCTTCAGTTTAGCCCTGTGACAGACTGGCAGCCTATCCAGGGTATATCCGGCGTTTCACCCAATGACAGCTGGGATAGGCTCCAGCTCTGCCCCCTGCCATAACTCTTAACTGGACAAGTGGTTAAGAAAATGGATGGATGGGTGGATGTTCCTTCAAACTTGAAAGACGGACTCTGATTACACAATATATCTCACCTGGTAGGCAGTGGGTCGTTGCTACGGTGATGCCATACAAATGAGAGCGCTGCTCAGGCAAGTACTCATCAGTGAACAGACTTCTGTGTTTGTTCACTGCAATCACACCATCCCTGTGAGTAACAGGTTAGAGAGGAATGATATCAGCGATATACACATATCAACTTATTGAACTGCAACCACCACTGTGATCTGAGTAGAAGGAGATGAATGAAGACTACCTCCGCCAGTCAGTGTAATAGAAGTGGTTCCTGTAGTAGACCATGCTGAATGGGTAGTTGAGGTTGGCGTGGATTACTCTTCGACCTGAACCATCTGAGGATATACACTCTAGACGCTTTGTACCTGACACAGGAAGACAGCATGGCTCATTACAACATCAAGAAAATATAGGTTAGGTAAATTCTAGAGTATTAACTTTTAACTGAAGAGTTTTCAACTATCTCAATAAGCAAGATATGACAGTATATAGTCTGAGAGGCAGCTGTACACTGTTTACAGATGTCTTAAAACCCTGGGACAATAAATAAGGGACCAATTCACATGAATGCAGCATCAGCATAGAGGCCATGTTTACCTGCGTCAGCCCAGCAGATCTGTTCAGAAGCAGAGTCATATGTTAGAGCATTTGGCAAACCAATCCCATCAGACACTATCACCTGGCGGTTTTGACCATCCACTGATGAGCTCTCGATCTTAGGGGCCTCTCTGTTCCAGTCTGTCCAATACAGAGTACTGCAGGGAGACACAGGAGGGGAAAACTTATTACTCTTACTCTGATTGTTCCTTTACTCTTTTCTCCATAAAGACAACATTTGATAACCTCCCCCGAAACCATGATGGTGATTTTTTTACACAGAATATATTAATAAAGATGTGATTTGACGACCGTTAGAATAGTGTCCAGGTTTTTCCAACAGGTTCTGCATATGCAGAAACCATCCTCATTAATATCTGATGCAAACCCAGTCATTTCCTTCTTAAGCAGGCCTGGAATATGACAGAAACTACTCTGTTGGGAAAAGAAATTCAAGCATTTCTTCTAGTGAGCTTTCAGGGACTAAAAGAGTTAAAAGGGACCTACTTGTGGGAGTCAAGCAAAACTACTCTAGAGTCCAACATTAAAAATATGGAGCTGGACATGAGCAGAATGAACCCCTTTCCACACCCTTCCATCTGGATTGTTGACTACAGTCATTTTGCATTGATTTGAGGTCAAGGTCAGGCTTATCTTTTTAGTTTCTGGTCATGCTTTATCTGTGTACATAGAGAACGTGGACCACACTGCCTCACACATGCAGGCATATTTATCAGTGTTTTCATATTTCCTGTTTAATGAAGATTTAAATACTATTTTAAACAGTGCACTGTGTGTGGGCTGCTTACGTGCTGGCAGTCCTCTGGGAACTACAGGTAATACACACCACATGAACGTTCAGCTTATACACACACACACACTTATGAATTTGGTGAAGGTGCAGGGCAGCAGATGTCTGACACGTTCACACGTGTATATGCTTTTATAAAGCCTTTGCGTGTCATTTTGGTGTGTCTGCTTCGCTGAGTGTCGTGGTTAGAGATGAGAATATTCAGCGACCCTCCCCAATTCGGTCTATTTGCCTGTTATTGGTTAGGGTTAACTGCATGTGCTCACTTTACAGCCTAAGAAACCACAGAGGACATGCTTAATCATAAGTGCATAAGTGTGCCCGTATGGAACAGTAATTACTTTTCAAACCTGAGTTTTTGTCAGAACACACACACCCCATATATTTACCCCTAAGTCAGAAACTAAGCTGTAAAATCAATAATGTCAAGCAAACGTTTCAGGTTTTATGACCAGGGTTATTGCTGCTGTGTTTAATCATTTGTAACAACCACATTAACTAACACACACACACACACAAACATGCACGCGCATAACTGTTGATTATGTGATTAGTTGCTGTGATGAAGAGCAGATGTTATTCCTGGCGAGTTGGCCAATCAAGGCCTCTTGCTTTCATCCTATGAGCGTGTGTGTCCAGGATTAATGGCATCAGTAAATTCAGGACAGTCTTCTTGGCTCAGTTTGCTGCGACACACACAGCACTAAAAGTCACTTGTGATAGAATTAGCAAACATGTGTTACTAAAGACAGACTCCACCATTGCCATATTTTTTCTATGAGTGCCAGTCTCATAATGATGAAGTCATGTTTTGGTCACAGTCTAAATCTTAGAATCCAGACTCAACAACCCCCCTTACTGCCAAATAGCCTTAAAACAGAGTTTGCACTGTACTAATGAATTAGGTACAGGCCTCATTGAGTCATAGCTTGTTAAAGAACTAGTGTTTAATTTTCATTCTCGTAGTAACAGACTGAAAACCATCTGTGCCCTCTTCTTCCATAAAATCTCTGTGGATACAGTGAAGGCTATCTCAGCAGAGCACCTCCAGGTTGTTGCAAGACAGTGTGTGGGCTCTTGTTTGTTTCTTGTTCCATGTCTGCAAATCCAGATTATGTTAACATACTTTTCTTCATTTCTAAGTAGAGCTTTTATGCCTTTCTGTATTTTTTTCCATATACATATGTTGTGATGTTGTTGAGGCTTCAGACTGCTCTAAACACTCAGCCAAGGCTATCCTTATTTGTATGGGAGAACTGAGTGGTAACCCTGCAAACATTTCAATGTTCAGTACATTTTATCCTATCTAGTCTGAAAAATACTTTCAAAATGAAAGCTGTGCAGACACTGAGATGTAAGTTTGCCATCAACTCGCTGTACTTCTTGAACATCACCTGCATGCCTCTGTTTGACTGCTCAACAATGGTATTCTGTGTTCAAGGCAGACTTCATATTATCCCTTCTTACAATTCTTCTAATTCTTCAAACTATGACAAAATAATTTAAGCAAAATATTCTTGATAGTGACATCGAAAAGCCCTAACCTTTTTTGTCATAATACTGCAGCCAGTTTCAACCCGACAGATTAGATTGCATATGCATATCTCTTACCCAAGCTATGGCTAGCAATCTGTATCCATGAACATATGGTGGATGTTTTTTTTTTTAAATATATATCTTAAGAACAATTGGCTGCTTTTATTAGCAGGTGTGCTGGCAGCAGATGTAGCTAGTAGCTGTTTGCTAGGTCCCTACTATTGGAATTATCTAACAACTTGCTATGTGGCACAGACTATCAAGAACTCTGTCAGCATTAGCTGACAACTCAACATTCAGTCATCTCATCCAAATGTGATTACTTCAGGGTCTTAAAAAAAACAACATAAGCACAGCCAAATTGCTAATGTTGAAGCTTTCGTATGGGGAATCCAGAACCCCGCGGAAGACGTCACTGTGACTCCATCTGTTCAAATCTGCTCTTTGTGAGAGGCAGTGGGCTTAAGGGAAGGAGAGCAGGAGTTAGAGGAAGAGACGGGTTGCTTCAGACAGTGCATCACATTGACGTCAACAGCAAGAAGGACAGTTTTTTTCAAATAACACTACGGATCTGGAAATTGGCATTTTGAAATTAGTGAAAGCAAAGAAAGATGAACAAATGGTTTTACCCGGTGGAAGAAACCACTATGATTGCACGGGGGTTCACCAAGTCTGTGTCAAACAGGGTCCTCCTCCCACTGCCGTCCAAGTTGGCTCTTTCAATCACATCAGGAGTAGAGTCAACCCAGAACATCAGCCGGCGTTTGACATCCACTGCCAAACCTTCTGGACTGACGAGATCTGCAGAAGCGAGAAGAACAGAGATCCAGACATCATAGAGGAGATATTGAAATCATTTAAGGCATTCCACAACAATCATTACAGGAACAAGCACCACACAACTGTGAAAGCTTACTTGTGTTAATGAGAACCTCAGGCTCAGCACCAGACACCATTGAAGCTCTGTTGATTGATCTCGCAGACAAATCTGTCCAATAGACTTGGTTTTCCTTGCAGTCATAGGCTATACCAACAACTATGGAACCCTGGAGACGCACACATAAATACAAGCTTCACAAGTGTTGACATACATCAGTTCACACAAGTGTACCTCAAAGATGAGAACTCACCTCCAACATTTTGGTCATGGTGTGAACCAACAACAAAACTCAAAGTTAGTTATAGATAGTATGAACTATATGCTTTTCTTCTATTGTGGTCTCTCTTTCCCATCACCAAATTGGTCGAGACAGATAGCTGCCTCTCCCTAAGCCTGATCCTGCAAGAGGTCTCTTCCTGTTATAAAAGGAAGTTCTTCCTCCCCGCTGTCACCAAGTGCTTGCTTATTGGGGACTGCCTATTCCCTGGGGTTCTTTCTCTAATATTTTAGGTAGTTTTTCCTAAAGTATAAAGTGCCCTGAGATGACTAGAAATAACTAAACAAAATAACTAAAACACCATATTTATATATCTGACAAATTTAAAACTTTCTACCCAAATATGTAATACTTTATATTTATATACATAATATTTATTATACTAGTCAGATATTTTCTATAATCGAGGTGCAGGGTATTTACAATGACATACAATTTGAAATACACGATGTGAAGTCAGTTTTTACTTATAATTCTAAGACATAATTCTGCTTAAGACATAATGCTGACAGTTTTTTTCTTTCTTTCTTTCTTTTAAGTAGCAAACAAATTTATTACAAAAATTAACAAAGATTAAAAAGATAATTTTATAGAGTATGTGATCTACCCATTAATTTCTTACATGTAGAGCCAATAGTGTTTTGGATCGGCTTTCGTCTAGTCTGGTCCCGTTGAGAGGCAGCGCTCCTATTTTCTGGCCCTGAGCGTACAGCAGTGTGATGCCAGTGTTCATGGGAGGGGTGACATCTGGACGGGATGTTGGACGCACCGTAGGCGGTGGCACTGACGAGATGCCTGGGATGTAATTGGATGGATAAAAATGTTTGAGTCACAATTAGTGAAAGACAAAACTTATATAATACAGTACAATGACATATATCTTTGACGATTATTGCTTACATGCAGGTTTGACAGCATCATCTGATTTGGTTCCGGGAACCATGCGTCCATTCTGGTCCACACACCAACAGTAGTTGGTCTCCCCGTAACACTGGACTGGACTTGGATGGTGCAGTCAAACGGAAAAATCAGAAGACTTTTAAACAGCAATGCAATTATTTTTTCCTTGAGAACTTCCTTTGATGACTGCATATCTGCTGCTTACCTGAACTCTCCATCTGGCTCACACTGAGGTACATACTGCTGTGGGCCAGGTTTCCCACCATAGTGCTCAATCAAACTGGCTCTCCATCGCTCACACATGCTCTCAGGGCGTTCTGTTGGAGTCACTGCAACTAAGGGGAAGCCAAAAACCCCAAAACAACCCATCAGTACTTCCATTCATAAAGCTAAAGATAAATTACAAGTCAGATGATATTCTTCTGTAGTTCATCATTATTTATTCAATTGTATTCTCAGGATGTTCCCTACTTTGCTGAGTTTATACTACAGTGTTAGTTGGAAGCTAATGGTGAGGGGATGCTTCGTGTTTAAAGAGGCACACATATACACACATCGTACTTTTGTCAGAAATGTTTACCGCGTTCAAATCCCTTTAATGACTCGCTTTATTGGAGAGCATTAAAACTAAACCTCAGAGCATTTCTGGCTTCTACTTGTGTTTACGCTAGCCTCGCTCTCTCAGTGTCAATTTTGAATGTGAGACTTTGCTGTTTGTAGACTGAGAAGGAGAGGAGGACACAATTTGAAAGGGAACAGTTTTCTATTGCGAGATAAAGACAAACCAAAATATTAATGCAGTTAGCTTTTCCAGAAGTGTTTATTATAGTGGCAGTTAGCATGTTGCAATTTAGTCTTCTGGATCACTTGGTTTTGCTTCTATTTAATGTTCAGACTACCCACCAAATATGGTGGTTTGGAAAAGAGTAACAACTGGATGATCCATCAGTTCCATCTGCAGACTGGCAAACTAGGATGGCAATTATTATGAGTTATGTGGGAGCAGATAAAAGTAGATTGAAAAAAAAGTCTACAATTGAATTTGAACAAAAGAAATTTGTCAGTATGACTAAATCAGACAAATTGCCTGTGTGGGTCAGATATCTTCAGATCCTGAACCAAATGTGAGTGAGAAATGTTGTCATTATGAAATAATAAACCTCGTTTGCAGTTCATAGACTATATATTAAAGATGTACTTGTTTTGCAGCTACAACTTAGGCATTTTGTCTGTTGTATTCTTGGTGATTTAAAACTGGTTGTGAGAGGTGAGGGGGCTGGGGGTGAAGAAGTCTCACCTGGTCTGTCACAGTCTACAGGTGCTGCACCAGGTGGAGTCC